TAAGAAATTACCAGCCATCAATAACATCAATAACATCAATAACATCAATAACATCAATAACATCAATAACGTCAATAACATCAATAACATCAATAACGTCAATAACATCAATAACGTCAATAACATCAATAACGTCAATAACGATTAAGCAGCATCAATAAACACCACCAATAAACATTACCAATAAAACATCACCAATAAACATTATCATCAATAAGCACTGTCATCAATAAACGTCAAGAAGAATCTAAAATTCACACACATTATAGATGCCAATACATATATAAAGAAATCATAAAGCAAATCATTGTATTTATTGTACAAAGCATCAATCAAAGATAAGGAGAATCTCAAAAAAAATCGTGATCATAAAAGAAAATCATTTCTTGATAGTTTCTTTGTTTGGTAAAAATCACGTCTTTAATAAATAATTTAGGTCAATACGTAGCATAATGTATAACTAAAAAAATTATTATCAGTTATACAATTATAGTTATGTCTAATTAAAAATTTATCAGATTATGGATAAATGAAATATATATATCGATATATATATATATATATACACTGTATATATATATATATATATATATGTGTATGGGTGATTATTTAAAATTTATATATGTACGGGAGATATATTTAAAATATATATATATATATATGATGTATATATTAGATACAGTGCGTATTAGATTACCTATCCGATTACAGTATCAGATTACAATATCGGACGGATTGCTACGTACGTATATTGCATTGAGACGATAAAATTTTAGTAAGTAGAAATATTACGCGTTGTACGTATGAAAAAATTAATGAGAAGAAAAAAAAAATATATACACAGAATAATTTTACCAATCATAGTTAGAAGCTAGTATAAAATAATCGTAAAGATATCAATATGAATAAATTGTAAACGTGTTAGAAAAAATAAATCATTAAAAAAGAAAAACAGAAAAGGTAAATAAATTAAGAAAATCTGCAAGAACTCCGTGTTCCGTATTTCCATCAATAAAGACAATAAATAAACCCTGCGTAGATGTTGATGCATTTTTTTGGATATGAAAATATTAAAAAGTAGTATTCTATTACTCGCGCCTAGATACCTTACATAGCGCACCAAATCAGAATACATTAAAATACATACGTAAGTGGTTAGTTACCAAAATTGATGATTTAGAGTAACATCAATACTGTAGTTCGATTTTCTTCTGGTTCCATCTGTTGGCGTTCAAATACCGGATTTTAACATGATTTTAAACTCTAAATTTATGTTAAAAATTGAGAATAAAAATTGAGAAATTGAATTTGTATATACGTATCAGATATCTATATCAAATATAGATATCAAAATAGATATCAATATTGATATCAATATTGATATCAATATTGACATTGAGTGTAGTAATACATTAGTATATATATAATAATAGATATAATAATGTAATAGATAAGCAATACAATACGTAGTAATACGTATAGATACGTAGTAATATTCATATCTATAGATAGTAATAGATATAGTAATAATAAAATAATAAAATAATAATAATAATATATATAGTAATAATACAATAGTACGTATATATGGTAATTTTTTTTTAAAAAAAAATAGATAACTCGCGTCTTAATGCCAAGATGTTAAAACCATTGTTTCATTTAATTGCTGTTTGTAGTAATTTAATTTTTTAATGCATCAGATTATATGCCAAATAAATTAATAATGATATGCACGAAATAAGGTCTAACATATATTGGTAGATAATCATTCGCAGAGTAACAATGATCTATAGTTCACCAAGAGTTTATCGCATGATCAAAAAGATATCGCATGACTTTTATCTTATAGGTGTCAAAAAGTTGGATAACCCAAATGACACTGCGACAAATAAATTTGCAGATCAAAAATCACAGGTATATCATAGGTAAATAGCTATTATTATCATTGTTATTATTACAACATAAACAAAGAAGCAACTTCGAAACAAGTAATTTGGCGCTAATTTGAGCTTTGTCTCACAGCCAAAGTTCAAAAATATTCTTTGCAATGTTTTAACATCAATTTTATAATATCAATGTTTGTACGTATCAATGCTACGTATAATATTAATGTTGTAAATTATCAATGTATATCAAATGATTATTATTAAATTATCACGATAACGTTATGATGATAACGTTATCATGATAACGTTAAAACGATAACGTTATCAGTTATAGTTATAATGTTACGTAAGTTACAACATAACAGAATAACATAACAGAATAACATAACAGAATAACATAACAGAATAACATAACAGAATAGCATAACAGAATAGCATAACAGAAAAAATACATATAGCAGATAGTAGTACGCAGAGAGCACAATCATTAACAAATGCAATAAATATTTAGAATGAACGTACTCTTCACGAATAAATGATTTTTCCACGTTAACGAAAAAAATATAACGAAAAAAAATTTCATGGTACCAAATTATTCAAACACGATTTGTGACGATTCCTGGTAATTTAATTGCTGATGCATGGTTTATCCGACTTTGTTATATAAAAAAAAAATTTTGATTGATTGGTCAAATTTTATTTTTTATAATTGATTTTATTTTTATAAATTTTATTGTAGATACGTTATATACAGTGTAAAATAAATTCCTGATACGTCTATTATATTCAAAAAAAAAAATCCTACCTTTATTATATATGCGGTAAATTGATATTGTAAAACAATTGACTAGATATAATCGCAGTACTTTATTTAGCCTATTAGCCGCTGCTTTACTAATCATTCAATCGTTTATAGGGCCTTTCAGTCCGACAATCAAAAAAAAAGATTTTATATAAAGATACCATCTTATTTCTCCTCAATGTTTTTTTTTTGTTTTTTCTCTAAAGAATTCTTTTTATTAATTAAAGAAATCTTTTAAGAATTGTCACTTAAATAAAAAATTGTTTCTAAAGAACTTTCTAACAAGAATCAATTCACAATTCCAATTCTAGAAATTTTTTGAGAAAAACGGTTATAATTATATAAACTTACGAGAAACATTTTGATCTTCCTTTACAATTTTTTTCCTTTTCATACATTTGTTTTTTTTCCTTACATTTTTTTATTTATTTTTTTATTTTATTTTTTTTTTTACATTTAATATACAAAAAAAAAATTTTTTATTTTTTTCCTTCAAGTTTACAGTATATAGAATGACGAATAATAATTCTTTTGTGTCATCAATGATGTCTCCACCACCTTCACCAAAAAAGAGTGCAGACGTTAATGCTTTAGAGAAGCCACCACTTTCACGTGCAATTAACACGCTATTAAATGAAACAACAACAAAATCTAAAGAACTAGTTGAGAAAGCAATTAAACCCAAGAGTAGATTTCGAATGTTTATATGTGAAGCACCGCCAGAACTTTTAGAATTAATAAAACAATCAGAAATTCAAAAATCTACAAATATTGCAAAGTCTGCAGATATTGCAAATATTGCAAATACTGCAAATATTGCAAATATTGCAAATATTGCAAATACTGCAAATATTGCAAATTCTACATATAATTCTACAGATATTGTAAAAAACAAACCAATTAATACAATTAACGTTAACGCCAAACAACCAATCAAACCCCATCAAAATGGGCACATGACTAAGTTCCATAAAAATCATACAATACTTTATTAACAATACTATATACTTTACTAGTTTAATGAATCGATCAAGTCGATCAAAAAGATTTATTTATTTTTTTTTTTTACTTTCTATAAATTACAAATATTGGCGAAGAAAAAAAAAGTTCAAATATATACCTTATTTATACGTACGTATTAGGTATTGATGATTATTTAATCTAGTGATATTCATGATCCTAACTTATTCTAATTATTAATTATTCTAATTGTTTTAATTATTCTAATCATTCTAATCATTCTAATCATTCTAATTGGTTTAATTATTCTAATTATTCTAACGTATGGTAAAAAATAGTTATTTTTTTTCTTAAACATTAAAAGAATCTAAGAATTAAAGATTTTTATATATATAAAAAAAAAAATAGAAATAATAAAATCTCTTAAATCTCATACATCTTTGTGGTTATAAATATCTAAACCTGTACAAAAGAGTGATTTGGTAATTTAGGTATATTGTTATTTTTTTTTAAATAAGGGATTAAAGAAGAAGAAAAATAAAGTCTATAAAAGATGATTTATAAGTATTTACAAAATAAGTGTATTTTGCGAACTTCTAAAATGGGTTACGCTTGCTTTGCTTAAAGATACGTATGGTGAATTTTTCTTTATAGTAAATAATCGTAATTTAATATCTATTAAAACTTTATAATTCTTTTTTTATATTTAATATATACATATATATAAATATATAAATATATATAAATAAATATATATATATGTATATACGTATGTTTTTTATCAATTTTAATAATTTTAATAATTTTAATAATTTTAAATAATTTTACTCAATTTTAATTAAATTATACGTATTACGTATGTATTGTATGGAATTTAAATCCATTTAACTTGTTGAAAGAATTCCCAAAGTTTGCTAGCTTTATTTACATCAATTCTCAATAATTTTTGAGCATCACTTTTTCGAAAAGGAAGAGACTTTTGAAGATAACGTTGAGCAGCCGAGACCAAAGTATGTTTTGCTGTTAAATATTGTACTGGAGTAAGT